GGCACTGGAGTTCCAATGGCTATACAGCTTGAGTTACTTAACCTATCTGGAGTTCCTCATATGTCTTCTGTAAAATGGATATATAACAACAACAACAACAACAATAACATTTACCCTGTTATAGGATTACATGGGTTAGCACATGAAAACTGCATTAGGAAGCTCCTGGGCCAGGCCATCCCCTTCCCAACTTGAAAGTACACAGTGGCCTTACACTGACCTCAGAATTTCACTCATGGTGAGAAAAAGTCATGATCCTGTTGACCAGAACCTTTACATTTCATCCTTTCGTTTCTGTAACTCAGTGGGCAGGGGCTGTTGTTGGGGCCACTTCATAGAGGGGTAAAGGCTGCGCTGGAAGAGCCTCAGCACAGAGCCCGCTGCCCCACGCCCTCGCAGGCCCAGAGCTTCTCAAAGAGTGGCCTGTGGACTGGCAGCGTCAGCACCACTGGGAGTTTGCTCCACATTCAGACCTACTGAACCAAACTCTGGGGGTGGGGCCCGGCAATTTGTTTTAACAAGCCCTTGGGGATTCTGATACTCTTCAAAGTTTGAGAGGACATGGGCTAGAACCCCAAAGAGCCTGCTGTGTGAACAGGGAGTACCTCATGTGAGGCAAGTGAGAGAAAATAGGGTGGGGGGAGGGGAACCACACTCTCAGCCCTCTTGAGACCTCAGGCTTCTTTCTCACGTGCTCTGGGCCTAGAGTCAGCTGTCCTTGGAGTGGAAGTAGAGGAGGCAAGGATTCTCTGAGACTTCGAGAGGTGGCCATTATCTGTGGGGATCACCTGGGTGCACATGAGCCTATTTCCGGAAGCTCTGCCAGGCCCCTGGGCTTTGACCGCCCAGAGGAAGATGGGAGACCACAGACTGCTGGGAACCCAGCACAGCAAAAATCTCAAAGTTGGGAAGGGTTGGGAAGCTGAGAAGGGACATCCAGGGAACCTCTGGAGGCAGGGTATGCCGTATCTGGGCCACAGCCCTTCTCACAAGAGCTGGGCCCTGCCTGAGGAGCCTGGGACCCACCTCTGCCCTGGGGCCACTGAGCCAGCAGTGCTAGGGTCCCTCCTAGTCATTTTCTCCCATCTCTCCATCTGTCAAGAGTTCCCTTCATTCAACCACAGAGTCACAGACTTTCACATGAGGAAGACAGGATCAATAATCATATTGACCCAGTCCCTACTCCATTTGGGTTTTCACAGTGTCATGATCTCAACACCCCCTTGACATGGCAGAATGACTGCCCCAATTTTACACATGAGAAGCTAAGACTGCCAGGAACAATTACCCCCGGATCATCAAGAAAAGGGTAGATCGGTTTTACTCGTCAAATGGTTAAAAGAGAGGAAAAAGTCGTTTGGCTCAAAGGGACAAACCCTCAGGTTCCCAGCAGCCAAGTGCTGCAGAGAGCTGTGGTTTCATGGTCCACGACGCAGCATAGTCAAACTGTGGAAACGCTTCTGATCCTGCCCTGCCTGCTTCGCCCAGTCTCAAATTTTCTCACCTAACATCCCCCCTCTCCCTCGGGGCCTCTAGGAGCCTCCAGACTCCTCAGCCCCAGGCTCAGAGCCTAAAGCCTCTGAGGTGGTGGCCGAGAGGTACGAGGGGCCTCACCTGCTCCCCCTGCACTGGTGGTTCCAAGTGCCACAGTTGGGGGTGGGGGGAGGAGTGTTACTCGTGCCCCCGGTGAAAACAGAAAACCAGCCAAGCCAGTTTCTGGCCACGCAAGAGGGCCTCTGGAGTCTGAGGACTTGGATGGGAATGGCTGTTGTGCCATAACTTTTCTTGTCTGTCGACTGTGGACAAGTCACAGAATCATTTCAAGCCTCGGTCCCTCTTCTGCAAAAGTGGGGCAATGATAGTTCCCTTTTCATAGGATGGCTTTGAGAAGGTGATAATTCAAGTAGAGTACCTGGCACTGGGCCCAGTCCTGTAAGCCCTCATTATTCTCACTTAACACTTCAGCTATTCCTCAGAGCAAGGGACACACCACCTGTCTCTTTACAAGCATTCGTTTCCCAAGGATTCAGTGTTGGCTTCTGGCTCACAAACTCCCTACGGCTGACACCCAGCAACATTTGCTCTCTCCTCCTACTGTCCCACAGAAGGTGGCCCATAATGGGTATGGTCTGAGCCCAGTTGTCCTAGGGACCAAGGGAGGGTGGGGAGAAGAACTGGGGAACCCAGGGTTCTGCCCCAAAAGGCAGAGCCCCAATAGGAGCTGATGAGGGAACTTCCTGACACCCAAGGGCCCACAGAGCTGCTGGGCAGGAACAAGGAATGAGGACAGCCACACTCTTGCACAGAGATTTGGCCTGAGAGTCCAGATACCTGAGTTCAATTTCTGGCTCCAAAGCTGTGCGACTTGGGCTAGTTACCTAACTTCTCTGAGCCTCAGTTTCCTAGTGGGTAGTTGAAAATAAAGACACCTAACTGGAAGGTTGTCTGTGGCTGTCTTTTTCCTGAGTTGCTACACGAGATGAAGGACTGGCCCACAGTGGGTATTCAGCAACAAATAGTGGAAACTAAATTGGGAGTCCAGGGTGCCACGATCCTTCTCACTCCAGTTTTACAGTGAGATGAGGACAGCAAGGTTCAGAGAGGTTTAGCAACTTGTCCAAGGTCACACAGGATGTGCACATCATTGCCTTCCTAGGCCACCCGCTCCTACTTGGGGCCCTTAGGTTTCATACTGGCCTGAGGTGAAACCCTCCCAGGGAGCCTTGAGAATGACTTGGTGCCTCATCACCTCAGGATGCTAGTCCTAAGGACACAGATAAAGATGTGTCTCTTATTTACATGAGAATGGTAGCATATCCAAAAAAATACCAACACCGAAGACTGAACTGCCCATTGATGGGCTATAAAGGAGAACTTCCCATTCCTGGAGGTGTGAACAGAAGCTAAATAAGCAACATTGGATGGAAAGTTGGCTGTGGAGGCCTTTAAAGGATGCTATCTTTCACGTGGCTAAGCAAATCCTACCCTACTCAGTTCTTACCTCTCCTCCTCCTTCAGATCAAGCTCAGACTCCTGGATTTGGCCTTCGAGGCCTCTGGACTCAAGATCCTACATCCTCTTCTGCCACCCATTTGGTCTGGTTGCTCGACAAGGTTAGATCCTGGACATTATTATTCACCAGCTCTCTGGGGCCCACCAGGGCAAGGTTCATATTTACTGAGCAAGGACCATGTGCCAGGCCTCAAACCAGGTATTTACACACATTGTTGCGTTTGATCTTCATAGCAAGCCAGAAAGTCAGGTGCTATTATTAGTGTCACTTTGCAGATCAGCAACCTGAAGTCAGAAAGATCAACCAACCTGCCAAAACTCACACTGCAACAACTGCTGAAGAAGCGAAGAGATGAAAGAAAGGGTGCTGAGCATGTGGGGTTCCCAGTTTTTAGCTCCTGTCCCAAGAGGCATGTGCAGCAGGTGGGCATACTTGGTTGCCCGTCTGTGTCTAACTCTTGGGGAGCCCCATCTGGGCACTGAGTGAGGTGGAACCCCATAAACTAACTAACCACAACCACAGCATTTGGGGGTGTGTGGGGAGGCAGGCCATTCTCCCCAACTTGCCATAGCCTCAGCCCTGCCCTACCCTAGCCCCAGTCAGAGCTATGAGCCAGCCCAGAGTTTTCTGCTTGGCAGCTGTTCAAGGAAGTGTGAGAAGGTGCTCAGCTGGCCTAGGGGAAACAGGTCAGGGGGTGAGCCAAGAACTGCCCGAATTCAGCTCAACCATATTCTGCCTATGCTGGAGGGTTGCTGGCAATCAGTTCCTGAACATTGGACAAAGATCTGGAAAATGAAGCCTGCAGGATATAGCAGAGGTATCACCAATTACCACCAAAAAGACAGTGAGAAGTAACCTAACACTCATTGGGTGCAGGCCCCAGGCTTGGTCCACTAAGTTCTGGCACCAACCATGAGAAGTAGCTACTATCTTCCTCACTTTACAGACAGAAAATCTGAGGTCCCATTTGGCCAGGTGAGCACTAGAGCCCAGAGAGAGAGGGATATAGGATAACCAGCTGGGACCTCTATGAGCATAGATCTGGGAGAGAAGGCAGAGTT